CCGTCCTGGCGATTCGCACAACGGGATTTCTAATGATTTTTAATTAGTTCACTTCAAGTCTAGTGAACTAAACAACCTTAAGACCTTAGAAAAAGCTAGCCTTATGCTCCATGTCCGAGTGAAGTGAAGGAAGACTGGAGGAAGTTTCCAAAACCTGGATGGGGTCACGGAACTAAAAATTGCTACATGCCAACTAAATGCATGAATTGTGGTGATTCCTCTCACGCAAACGATGACTGCCCTGTGAAGGAAGATAAACTAAGAAATTTAAATGTTCAAATTGTGGTGAAAACCACAAATCCCATTTTTGGGAATGTAAGACTAGCAAAGCGATCCTAAAATCTCGTTCTAAAGGTGCGTTTAGACTATCTGATTTGTTGGTCTGATTTGAGCGGACTGCTCGATAATTTTGTCGGAGGCAATGTTCGGATGCATTCACACTTTTTCGACAGGATGATTAGATTTGACGTTTGATTTGTCGAACAAAATAGGTTTGCGTTTAATTATCATTATCATCCATTATCGTTTGCGACAAACGGAATTCGGATGGGTAGTAGGTGGAGTCATCGAACGTGAGAGCAAGCTAGTGGACCAGCAAGACTGCTATTGTCAACTTAGCTTAGCTTAGCTTAGTCTGACTGCACGTATCGATAGTTGCACTCCGTGATTGATCTGAACCAGTGAAATTGTACAAAGAATCAACTGAATGGGGCTTGGGAGTAACCTGCCATTCTCAGTGTACATGTTCCAGTGACTCCTACCTTTAAAGATCAATAACGTCACCGGCCACGTCCTTGCAATCAGGTGGGAGAGGGAAGGAATGTTAGTGTGTGACTTTTGTTGTTTTGGGACCGTGTTTACCTCTGCATCCCACAAAAGTCACAGGAAGGAGGTTTTGTTAGTGGGTTAGGTTCGTTGGATCAGGATTCACCTTGATAAGTGATGCGATCTTTTGTTTTGTGTAGTTATTTATAAGTGTTTTCGATTTATGCTCTAAACAGCCGGCTGTCTAGAGATGTAGATCATTATTAGATGTGTGTATACCGATTTAAACCAACAATAAGGATACTGTTGGGGCCACTCACAAAGTGTGATGATGGTTTATTTTATTTTATCAATGACCAAAATAATTAATTATAAGCGGTTTGAACCGATTTAAACCAACAGCAAGGATGCTGTTGGGGCCACTCACAAAGTGTGATGGTGGTTTACTTGATTGAATATAAAATAATTATTAGAACCGATTTAGACCAACAGCAAGGATACTGTTGGGGCCACTCACAAAGTGTGATGGTGGTTTATTTAGTTCGGAAGAAAATGAATATGTATACTTCTCTTTTTTTTATATAATAGAACGAATTTGTACTGATTCAAACCAAAAGCAAGGGTTCTATTGGGGCAACTCACGAAGTGCGATGGTGGTTTATACTATAAGGGCATAAAACAAAATCGTCACAGCCATTTCGGTTTCCATAGCTTCCTAGACACTCGGCCGCAAAATAATCTTATCCGACGGAAACGTCTCGATCATCGCGCGATTTACCGTATTGATTCAAATTCCGAACAGTGCGTTAAAATCATCCTTTGAAAACACCGTTTTTACCTAAAATATTGCTGATCCGCTCAGAATGTATTTAAACTCACGACTTATCGTAATATGGACATCCTAAAAGAAAAATTTTCAAAATCCGTCCCATACAAAAACACAAGTGCTCAGAATTTGAGCGTGTTCGTAATATGAATCAGAACAAGTTAAATCACGTTCCCGAAAGCAAACTGGATCAAGCGTGCGCCCTCCCTTCTAAACATTCCGACGCGTTCCGCCCAACATCTATCAATTACGATTTTCTGCAATAGTAGCCTGGGATAAATCCTAACGTCTTCCCTCCCACAAGACTCAACTATGTTCTTGCACTCGCAAAATAGATTACGCGCGATTAAGGTTATCCCGGCAGGAAACAAACGGGTTGTTTTTAACTGGAACAAGCTCACCAAATACAATCACCATGGTAGCACCAACAACTACATACTCGAGTCTTGTCACTATTAGCAAGACATTAAAAATAACAAGGTCCAAAGTGTGTTCCCCTGCTCACTGAAAACTCGGGGCTTATTACGGATGTCACTTCACGGTGAAAACTTGACACTGGTAGTCACGGAGAAGTGATTCCCATTTCATTCACGGCTCTTATTCTGAGTATTACTTCCTTATCACCGTGTAGTGACACCCGTAATAAGGCCCCTCCTGTTCAGGACTAGAGTTCGGTGAAAATCTTGTTCCAGTAACACAACACGAAAAGGTGATCTACCAGCGTTACTGGATTGAAAAGATAAAATGAACAAAAAGGAACGAACTCACCAAGTTTAGCCAATTGAACCTAAAGGCAGTTTGAGATGTGTTGATGGTGTTCACATTGCACACAGATACATCAACACACTATTGGCCGTGGGTAAAAGACTTCTCTTCTCCCTGCTTGATCCAGGGAGCTCCACTGCGCCGACGGGAAGCTGGAAATATCCTCGTGCTCCTCCAGCGTTAGTCCTCTGATTCCGGCTGCAGTTTTTCACCCGGTGGTGCTACTGCTGCGAGTGCTTCTTTCTTGCTGCCGGCTGACCAGCGGAACGCGTTTTGCACCCTTCGCTCGCGTTCGGCCCAAATTCGGAATTTCATTATTTCAACACTTGATAAACCGCGCATCCGACCCGCGCATCCGCCACTGCAAGTTCGTAGTTGAAAATCACTCGAGTCAAAATGTAGAATCATTTCACATTGAACAAAATTGAAAAAAATGACGGGAGGAACTCAAAAATCGCGTCCGTTCACGAGCACAGCACACTTCGATCTCCCCAGCAAGACTGCTATTGTCAACTGATTACAAATGAACAACTGCATAGCCAATTGCAGAAGTTCTGGGAAGGAGATGACGTTCAGTTTACCTCTAGTACATAATCACAAGGGCTTCTTGCAGAACGCCACTTTGTCGAGACATACAAACGATTGCCAGATGGTTCGTACATGACTAGATTACCCTTTCGTGAAGGTTAAATATTGGGAACGTCGAAGCATATGGCACTTCAAAGGTTCCTGTCGATGGAGCGTCGTTTGCTAAAGGATCCACAACTGTACGAAGCTTACAAGTGTTTTATGGACGAGTATGAATCCATGGGACACATGGTGAAGATTGGAACCATCGATACAATAGAGGACACTCCTAATCAATATTTCTCGCCGCATCATCCAGTGCTACGGCCATCGAGTAGTACTACAAAGCTACGTGTCGTGTTTAATGCTTCGGCAAAGACGTCCAACGGCAAGTCACTAAACGACAATCTCTTGATCGGTCCGACAGTGCAACAAAAGTCACATGATATCGTTCTGACCCAGACAACCAGAAGTCGTATAACAATGTACAGACAGAATCGTAAATTGCTACAGGTTAAGTCAAAATCGCATATAAGAATGGCATACCTCGCATTATGTGTAAGTTAAATCGTATAGAATGAAAATTTCTGACTTATATGCGATGGCTCATTTTTCCGTCGTATTGTATCACAAATTGAATCGGATTACATCGTAAGACTTTTAAAAATAAATTTGTTATTGCAGATTAAATCGTATATGATGTTAAATCAACTCGTTTAAAATTAAACGAAAATATGCACGTACATGGCCTCCACTTTTGTACGTATAAGCCATTTCTTTGCATTGTATACGACTTGTTTGTTTGTATATATGTTTGTATATCACGAAAACAACTTTGAATATACGTGCATTCTGGTTGTCTGGGGAGGTTCCGAAAATATCCAGTAGCTATGTCAGCTGATGTTTTGAAGATGTATCGAAGAATCCTCTGGATAGAAGGTTCCTAGAAATTTTCTGGAGGTCAAACCCTAACGACAAACTGGCGGTGTACATGTTATCAACTGTAACCTACGGAACGGCAAGTGCTCCATTTAGTGCTACAAGGTCACTTCAACAACTGTGTCATGACGAAAAGAACAGATACCCCAAGGCAGCGGCTCGCGGTTTGTTGGACTTTTACATGGACGATTTCTTGTCTGGTGCAGACAGCATTGAAGAGGCAATTGAGATACAAGGTCAGCTCATTGAGATGATGGCATCAGCCGGGTTCCAATTGCATAAATGGTGCTCTAACAAAAGTCAATTGTTGGATAACATTCCCACTGAACATCAGGAGCAGAAGGTCTTACTGTCGGATGAAAAATCGACTAAAACACTAGGGCTAACATGGCAGCCAAGCAGCGACCTTTTCGTTTTGGATCTAAAGACAATTGAATTCAACGAGACCAGTAACACGAAAAGGACTATTTTGTCAGACATCGCGAAACTCTACGACCCTGTCGGACTGATCGGACCTATGATACTTGCGGCAAAGCTGATCGTACAAGAAATTTGGAAGCGTGGTAGTAACTGGGACGATCAAATAGATACCGACCTAAACTCCAAGTGGCAGAAGTTTCGTTCCCAAATCGTAAAAATGGACCCAATTGAAGTAAAAAGGTGTGTGCTTCCCCACAACGAACCTAAGACCTTTGAACTGCACGGTTTTTCCGACGCGTCGAAATTAGGCGCTCAATTTCTCGCTCAATTAATTGATAATGTGAAACGATCTCTTGAAGTCAACTTCTACCAAGCTCAAAACGTACGTATCAAACCGAGTAGCGTACATCCAACAAACAACATCTCCGGTTATGTGGCGTCACGTTGGCACCCTAGAAAACCCCGCTGACCCGCTCTCCCGAGGTGTGATGCCTGCAGACATGAAAAAGTGCAATCTACGGTGGCAAGGACCAAACTTCATTTGGTCACCAATGGACGAATGGACACCAACTACCAACGTTCCGGTTGTGATCGAAAACGTTCCTGAGATGAGGACTCTGACAACGTCGACAGTCGAACGCTTCAGCTTGTTCGAAAATGTGAGCTGTTTCGAGGTTGTGAAACGTACATTCCAATAGAATTGGATAGTGCACTCAGAATGATGGTCAAGCTAGTGCAACAGCAGTTGTCGGCGATGAATATCATCAGCAAGGAAAACCACTTGATCACTCTGGACCCTTACCTCGATGAAGATAATCTTCTCCGAGTCCGGGAAAGACTACAGGCTAACTTGCCGGAGGACACCAAAAACCAAATGGTCCTTCCGGCAAATCATCCGCTAACGATCGCACTGATCCGTTTGTACCATGCAAAGTATCTTTATGCTGGACCACAACTGGTTACCACAGCTTTGAGGCAAAAGTTCTGGATCGTTCGAGGCAAAAACATCGTCAAGAAAATCATCCGACAGTGCACCAGATGTTTCCGACGCAACCCCCTGGCGGTTGAGCAACCTGTAGGCGAACTTCCAAGGTGTCGCGTGCAGCTTAACTACCCATTCTACAACACGGGCGTAGATGTTGCCGGACCGGTAACAATACTTCAACGAAACAAGAGGTCAACGGTAAACTACAAGGGCTACATCGCTGTTTGTATGGCGACTCGAGCTGTACATTTGGAACTCGTCGGAGTTCTGACATCCAAAGTTTTCATTGCGGCCTTGCAAAGATTCATCAGTCGACGAGGTAAATGTGGTCACATTTTTTCAGATAACGGTCGGAATTTTACAGGTGCAAAGCGAATCCTTGAGGAGCTTGGACATCTCTTCCTGTCCGAGCTGCATCAAACCTCCATAGTTAACTTCTGCAGCAAGGAAGGAATGGAATGGCACTTCCAACCACCATACGGTCCGAATTTCGGTGGTAGCTGGGAAGCAGCCGTCAAATCTACGAAGTCGCATCTTCGTGTGGTGCTGGGCAACGTCACGATGACCTACGAAGAGATGTCAACCATACTGGTGAGAATTGAAGGCATCCTTAACTCTCGCCCTCTGTGTCCTCAATCAACAGATCCGACCGACCTGAATGTCATCACTCCTGGGCATTTTCTCATCTTTCGTCCGATGAACGACATACCGGAACCAGACTTTTCGGTAACTAACACTCCACTGATGAAGCGCTGACAACATGTATCGAGACTAGTTCGACACTTTTGACGTCGTTGGCATAATGACTACTTAACTCAACTGCAAAATCGGACGAAGAAGCTAAGGGCGAGCAAAATCGAACCTGGACAGGTAGCGGTCATTCGTGAAGACAACATCCCAACACAGAAGTGGATTCTCGGACGAATTGTGGCGACCTTCCCTGGGACCGACGGGATTGTCAGAGTCGCCGATGTGAAGACCGAAACCGGCGTCATCCGACGACCTGTATCAAGAGCATGTTTGCTTCCGATCATCGACAACGTTGTAGAAAATCGACGCAAATTGGAACAAGGGCTTGATAAGGACGACTAATATTGTTGGAACGTGGCCACCTTCCAACGGGGGGAGTATGTTGGAGCGTTTATGGACGTGACTTGACGAAATCCACACAGTGTGGAGACATCCATCGTTTTGACACCGGGCGGACGGCCGAAGAGCGAACGACGACAACACCAACACTCTCTCACTCTCTGTGTAAATAATTTATTCCGTGCCAACAAGTGCCCGGTCGGGGCCGTCAGGGCAGACCAGTAATTCAAAAGTGTACTGGCAAAGAACGTGGAATAAAAGTACAAGCGGTCGCAAATCAAATCGTGTGCGTTCTTTTACAAAATTAATATCGGTCCGAAAACGACAGAACATAATGATAAAAAATAACCGTAAGTTGGTGAAAATATTAATTTTTTTTTCTAAAATTTCACGGATTTGAACCGCTAATGAACGCTTGATTTGTGTTTTTATGGCATCCAGCAGCAACCCTAATAAAATATGTATGGTTATTTGGCTTAAAGACGTGATCAGGGTATCATCCAAACCATTTGTGGAATAGTTCAATCATTTGGGTTATCGTTAGGGTATGGTATTTTTATTAAGGAAGGTAAACCGATTTCACTATTCAATAATGTCCTGTGCATGGTTTGACTGATTTTTATTTTCCAGTGTGATTGGCAGAAAGACGCCGTAATGACTTTGATCATGGCATGGTCAACAAAATAGTGTTTATATAATATGAAGCATGTATTGTATAAGAATAAGCATGCCAGACAGCAGGTCTGAGAGCTTACTACGAATTTTTTTTAGAGCTTCACAGAGGTTTGGAGATCTACTGAAAAAAAATTTGAGCTTAAGGGTCGTTCGTAGATCTTGAGAACATAACTACAAACAAATTAAAAGAAATTTGCTGAAATTCATAGATCTTCAGAAAAATGTTCAAAGAAATTTTCAAAACTTCAAGCAAGCTAAAATATTTTCAGATCAATTTGTAAAACTATAAGCGAAAATTTGCAATTCTTCAGGGAAATTCGCATAATTATTATTATTATCTCTATTTAGGAATTCGCATAACTTCAGGCAAGTCCAAGAATCTACAATGAAATATAAAGTATTTCACAGAAGTTTGAAGATCTACTGAAAAAATATTCAACATCAGAAAAGTTCGTAGATATTCTGAACAAAGCTACAGAACTTTAAAAAAAAAATATACAGAACTTCTGAAAAAAAAATCACAAGAATGGTCATAGAACTTCAGATAAATTTGAAGACCTTCAAGAAAGTGTGCAGATTTTCTAATCAATTTTTAGAATCACAGAAATTTTAATTGATCTTCAGTAAAATTTGCAGAACTTCAGGGAAATTTGTTGATCTTGAGAGCGACATTTAAAACTCCAAGGAAGCTCAAATATGTTCAAGTAAATTTTGAGAACTTTAGGTATTTTAGAAGATTTTCAGAGAAATTTTCAGATCTTCAGAGTAGCCCAAGAGCCTACAGAGGAATTTAAAAAACTTCAGAGAAATTGATTGAGTCTCAAGTTTTTTTTTTTCGTAGATCTTAAGAATAGAACTACGGAGCTTCAGACAACTTTACAGAACTTTAAAGATATTTGTAGGAATTTCTGAAAAAGTGGCACAGTTTCAAAAAATGTGAGATCTTCAGAAAAATTCGTTAAATTTCAGAAAAGTACCTCAATTCCAAAAATAAATCTCATCGAAGTACAAAAGTACAAGATTTGCAGAGCTCCATGAAAGTTAGAAATAGATCGATCTGAAGAACTTCAGAGAAGTCCGTAGACCTTAAGAGAAGTCTATAGAACGTCAGAAAGTTCATACGTTTTTAGAAAAATTTGCAAAACTTCAGAAAAACTCACAGAACTTCGCGAAAGTTCGCCGATCTTTAGAAGTATTTACGCAGCTTAAGAGAAATTCAAAAATCATAACATAAATTTTTAAAACTTCAGCGAAGTTCAAATATTTTCAGATAATTTGTAGAGATTTGGTGAAATTAAAAAAAAAATTGATAAATTTGCAGAACTTTATGGAAATCAAAAAATCCACAATTAAATTTACCGAACTTTAGAGAAGTTCGGAGATCTACTGAGAAATTTATTGAACTTAAGGGCAGTTCGTAGAGCTTTAGAGCAGAAAGTTTACAGTACTTCAGAAAAGTTCAGAGGGTAGATCGTAAATCTAGTGAAAAATTTGCAGATGTTTAAATAAATTTTCAGAATTTTATTGTGGTTCTTGGATTTTAAGAGAAATTTACAGAACTTCAGGTAAGTTCGCTGATCTTTAGATATATTTGCACATCTTTAGAAAACATAGTAAAACTTCAGAAAACCTCTTAAAACTTCCGGAAAGCTAAAAAAATTCAGGGATTCATGAACTTTGTAGATTTTTAGGAAAATTTGCAGAACTTCTAAAGAACACATAGAACTTCAAAGAAATCTGTAGAACTACCGAGAAATTTGCCAGTTTTTCAGGAAAGTTTGTTGATCTTTAAAGATATTTTACCAGAGAACAGAAACAAAAGTTCAGGGACGTCCGAAGGTCTTCAAAGAAATATGTAGAATTGATTTCCTAACTTAAATTTTCATAACTCAAGAAATCAGGTAGATATATAGAAAACTTTTCCCACTAGCTTATCGAAAGTTGGTATAGACATCCTGGCTTCCCTTCATACCGCTGCTCTTGATGGACAAGATGAGCCAGATCCCTGCCGGTGTTCCTCCTGAGCATCCATTTCCTACTCTACAAAATTCACCTTCTCCTTCTCATTTCATTTAAAATAATAAATGCAATACGCTTGCCGAAGCTAGAGTAATTTTCCGGTAATTCATGATGGAAGTATTTACTTTTGATTCCTGATACAGTTTTGTTTTCTAAAGTAAATTCGAGCAGATTTTTCATTATGGCGGCGGTCAAAATCAGACCAAGAAATCAGATAGTCTAAACAGACCTTAAGCGACAGGAAGGAAACGCTCCACTTTCCCGATCAGGTACTAATTCCTCTGCTATTATCAACGGTCAGCGAGGAACAAATTCTACATTCGTATTCGTAGGTACAAATTCTTCATGCTCCCTTCGCTGCTATCAATTTTTTTTTTTTCCTTTGGTTTGTTTTTTTCCGTCGATCTTGTTTTCCGTGCTGAGCACCAATGCTACCGACGTGCCAGGAAGGCAGTTCCCACACCTGGACCCTACTGGCTTTACTTTCCGAAGGAAGGCGTGTTCAGAGATGAGTGATGCCTCAGAACATCCCGGCGGCGCCGACTGGGATTGAACCCAGGCCTGCTGGGGTGAGAGGTAATCACGCTTACCACTACACCACTGGCGCCGTTGATTGCTGCTATCAATGTTCAGCGAGTAAATGGAGCTACCTATGCTGCTATTACATCAAAATACTAGCCAACGTAATTCTAACGAAAATTTTGAAAATTTAGACCTACGAAGCATGACTGCTCCTAAAATGGAATTTTTACAGAAATCATTAATTGACATGATTATTGATATGCTCAAATCTAACTCCATGTTTGATGCTATTCAAACTGGAATAAAATTTTCGAACGATATTATCATGACTTTGAAATTCAGTACTGGTTAAATTAAATATTTTAAATTGAAATTTAAAAACCTGCGAAAAGGCCTTGACCTCCTGAACAACTATGTCCAAGACAGTACCTTTCTATCTGGTTGGGAACTTGAGATATTTTATATGAGAATTTCACGTGTATACTAGCGTCGCGTAGTGAGCAATTTCTGAACTATTGAGCATCAAGCAATAGGCTTTGACCTCCTGAAAAACTTTGTGAAAGACAGTAACTTTCAATCTGGTCAGGATCTCGATATATTCCATGTTGTAATCAATAAAGTTAAATCCCACGTAGTTTTGTCATAGTTTACGCGGTTTCCATTCACATTTTCCCTATTATCCGCATTTTGTAGGTGTTTACTGTAATCAAATTTAGCTTGTTTAGATCAAAACAAGTTTTTTTTTCTGAGGAATACTCGTTGGTTTCAGATCGATTGGTAACTCAGCAACAAAATGGCAATTGAAAACTCATGTGTGTTGTACAAAGTACAACAGCGCGAGTAACGGAGGGTTAAGAAAATATCCATATCCATTGATTTTGCCATTGAAGCTCGGCTGATTTTGTTTAAATGTTGTCTGCATTGCAATCGCAGCGGTGATATGGCTCGGTGGCCTAAAGGTGAACTTTTTTGCTTACCGAGCAGAAGATCATGGGTTCTTTCCTAGGTCCCTTTACTTTACTGAGTTGATAGGGCCTAATCGATTTTTTTCTCTCGGCTTCAAGAAGGCGAATGTCAAGTCTACAAGTCCTTTCCTGTCACTGATTGGCTTACATTCTGACGTAGCTGGCCCCGATATTGCATAAAATACATGAGATCACCAGCATTTTCACATTTAGAACGCTAGTCCCAAGTGCCACCTATTGTTTCTCTGGGCAGCTACAGCTGATCTTCATATCAGATCTGATATCAGAGTAGCAATCATAGGTGGTCAATCATCCGTATCCTCAAGTTCATTATTAGATCATGGCCTACACTCAAAATAATCTACACGTTCAAGCTTCGTGAAAGATTACGTAAGCTATACATTTTGACTCACGTAGAATGCATGTGATGTCCCTTGAATTTCACAAGGAGTTCCTTTTTAACACAACTATATAATCAATGGAATG